TGAACAGAAAAGAACCCAGATCAACAAAAGGAAAAAACAGTTTTTATGAGAGCAATGATCAGATCATTGCATCGAATTTCTGGATGCAATCTGCTGGGAGGTTTCACAACGTGCACAAAGAGTGACACACGTGCAGCTTAGCCATGGATTGGAATTGGCCCTACATGGGCCTTCATCCAGCATTACAATCAATCAAGATCAGGCGCGACAGAGGGAACGAAAGGCAGAAAACACGTCCTCAAGCATCAAGAACCGTCAACACACAATCCCAGCCCGAAAGCCGCCGCCCATGCAAATTGAAATCCAGACAAGGAAGCAGACAAAACACACACGCTCTTGAAATCGCGAATCTTTGCAAGAAGGGAGCAATCAATAAATACCCAGAAGGAAAACCAGAATCTTGATGCAGTTGGTGGAGAATCTAGCCGCCCCCAAAGAAAAAGGGGGAGAAAATGATTACCAGGAAGCAGATAAGAGAATCGAAAGACAACCCCTTTTGAAAAAAGGTCCACGGAAATTCCCAGCTTGGGCCAAGTACCTGAGCTGAAAATGATCAGATCTCGTCGTCTTTTCTTCTCTCTGTTCTCTGTCTCTGTCTCTGTCTCTCTCTCTCTCCGTCTCCTCAGATTTCAAGAGACAGACGTGAGGGTCAGAGTTAAGACATCCATGTCTTTAAATAGGAGTGGAAATGCTGCGACTTTAGAGGAAATTAAGGTAATAAAACACTGCAACTTCCCAAAGCAGGAAAAATAGGTGGGACTCTTTTTTTTTTTTTTCTTCTTCTTTTCGATTTTTGCTTGGCGTAAAAAATGCGGGATTAAATTTCTGTTTAATCACCTGCCGGCCAAATATAAAAAAAAAATTCGAAGGTTGTTGTTTATTTTTTGCGCCCTCGAATGTGGTTTTGTCTTTTTTACTGCTCCTATTTTGACGTGGTTCGTTAATTGGGGAAAATAAAGAAAATGAAAAGAGAGAGGGAAGAAATAAAAAGAAAAATGATTTTCTTCTTCCGACCACCAAAGATGACTTGATGATATGCGATCTGTCAACTCTTTCAATACTTTGAATTCATTGTGAATTTCTACTAATATGGACAATAAAAATCTTCCCTTGAAGGGATTCACTTTACCTTTATTTTATTTTTTTTATTTATTTTTTCCATTTTAGATGAATGGAAGATATAGTCCAAATTTACATGTTTACAATGACAATGTCGCCGCATATTTGTCTCAATGATAGTACTATTCTTTGACCAAATTAATTTACTTTTTAAAAAAAAATACCAAATTAATTTACTTTGGTGACTTGTATATATCAGTGCCTCCTCAAGTTTTGCATGTTAGTTTTCTAATCCTTATCAAGGAAACTAGAAGACAAAATTTAGGAGAAAACCATTTAACAACCCTAAACTAAATGCTAGATACTAATCCGGCAAGGTTTTTAATGCATTACCTTAAAAGGGGGGGAGTCATATTGAGTACTATGCCAGTAAAGATATATACCTACATGTCATTTTCATGGTAACTCCAGGATTCTGTTTCTTCTATTAAAGAAAAAAACCAAAGAATAAATACATCAACAATCAAAAAAAATTTATTATACTTTTTTTTGTGCTGTTTTCTGTTTCTACCATTTAAAATAGTGATATTTCGAATATTAAACCCCCGAAATCTTAAAATGTATAGATACTAGATGCGATGCACGCTCTATGTGCACGTGAAGCAAAAGGAGGTGTGTAGTCGTCAAATAAAACAAACCACGTGGGTGATTACTCAATGCAAGTTAAAAATAGCTTCTTCTTCTTCTTTTTGCAGGGGTGGGTTTGAGGAGGCTTGATAATAATAGGTTAGTCCACAACTTAAAACTTATCAATGCATAATTTTATTCGATTTTCTCTCAATATAATTTATTTCCTCTTTCTTTATCTCTTAGTTTCTGTCGACCGACAAACAGTTTTTGCATATTTCAATCGAGATCTTTGAATGGTAAGAAAAATCACAAAGTGATAAAAGTCAATATTATTCCTTAACTACTTAACGGGGTTAGTGTCAACGTCGCGTATGATGGCAAATTTAGAGTGGACACCAAAGTTGAAAGTTTGCATTATATATATAGCAGGGATTAGTTTTCAAGGTCACCTAAAAAATTTCCCTATTTTTTTCTATATTAAAATGTAAAATTAAAATGTGGGGGTTTTAGCCCAACAAAAAATCCATTTTCCACTAATTAAAAAGGGAAAAAAAATAAACAACCCCTTTTTCGTATATAGGTAGCCCAACAAACCAACCCAACAAGAGAAATTGGTGGGTCTTCTTTTAGTAAATTTCCTAATTTGTTAAGCGCTTTCAACTTCACTTGAAAACTTCACTTGAACACGTTACATGTAATTTTTTTTGGTCAAGAACCACGTTACATGTGATTGGAAAATTGGCTTTTATAGCAAATCCCACTTCATGGCCCTTTCCTGAAAACAAGCCCAGCCCATCTCAATCCGTCGATAGAGATTGAGAAATTGTGTCGAATTTAGTAAACAAGCGGTTGCTTTAGAAAAAGGGATGATCACACAAGCAGTCCTAAAAGTTTAGTTCGATATGCAATGCCTTCCCTAAACTTTTAATTTGTTCAATGTAGTCCCTAAATTTTAGCATAACGTGGAATGCTGTCTCCAAACTTTTAATTCGTTCAATGTGATAATTGAACTTGCAATAAATGTTCAATCAAGTTCGTAAATTATATGAAAATATTCGATGTTATCCTTATATCAATTCAAGTTAACAAAATTCGTTGCTCCAAATCCGATGACAGGGGTCAAAAAAATGATGTTACGCTTAGATTATGCACATAAGATATTCAACTTAAATCATGTTATAATAATTCATGTTATGAATTATTATTTTTCCATCGGAAACAAATCAAAATGATTATTATATATGTTTGCGGTGATCCTCGGCGATCCCAACTCAGCGCAACATGTTTGTTTGCGGACGTGATGCCGTTGACCCAAAAACTGTGGCCTGGCAGAGAGCTCCAGCTTCCACGGCACAAAATGGCGTTCTTGACTTAAAAGTAGAAGCATACGGTTCCTTGTTCTGCATTGGGATTAGACTTTAGACAGTTCTTCATCTCTTCTGTGATTCGAATCTATTTCTAGTGAATTTATGATCAACCTTCACCATCGTACAAAGCAGGGAGTGCTCTCGACTTAAAAGTGTTGTATAGAGGTTTTCTTGCTTCGGGGGAAGAACAGTAGAAGTGCCAAAACTTGTGTACGGCGCTCACTTTCGTGCCAAAAGTTTTCGCCGGCTCACTTAAGTGCCAAATCGGAGGAAAAACGATTACTTAAGTGCCAACGGCGAGAAATTCCGACCAAATTAATACGTGGCTTTTATAATTAAAATTTTAATCTAAGTTGGATTTCTTTTAAAAAAATCAATTTGCGTGGCATTTCCATGTGTATATTTCGATTTTTTAAATATTTCTTTTGATTTTTTTTCCTTCTTTTTTTTTTCTTTTCTTTCTTCTTCTTCTACCTTTGGCCGATGGCCAAACCATGGCCGGCCGCCTGGCCTCGCCCGGACGAAGCCGCCGTCGCTCGCCACAGGCGAGGCTCGGCCGACCCTTGCCTGGGCGAGGGCGGGCGAGCCCCGGCAAGGGTCGGCCTCGCCTCGCCTCGCCTGGGCAAGGTGAGCCCCAGCGAGGGCTCCCCTCGCCAGATCCGGCGAGGCCGCCCCCTCGCCCGCCCTCGCCCAAGTGAGGGTCGGCCGGGCCTCGCTTATGGCGGGCAATGGCGGCCTCGTTTGGGCGAGGCCAGGCAACCGGTCACCGGCCAAAGGTAGAAGAAGAAGAAAAAAAAGAAAAGAAGGAAAAAAAGAAAAAAAATCCGAAAAAATATTATTAAATATTATCCCCGTCAGCGCTGACATACCATGTAGGACTGAGAAATTAATAAAATATGGACACGTCAGATTTTCAACGACCCAAATCGGAATTGGCACTTAAGTGATCGTTTTTTAAAAAAGTGGCACTTAAGTGATCCGAAAAAAACTTTTGACACTAAAGTGAGCGCCGTACACAAATTTTGGCAATTCTAGTATTCTTCCCCCTACTTCGGGTGGTGGGATTAGACTTTTTTTTAAGTTCTTTGGATCTCCTTCTGCCATTTGAATTTCCGTTCTACCCCTTTTTATTTTTCGTGAATTTCTCGCTCTAGTTGTGCATAACATTTGACCTTGCATAAGGTCTTATGGCAAAAAAAATTAAACAGCATCGAATTCTTCAAGAGCACAAACAGTTTTCCTATTCAAACAGCTTTACAAAAAAAAAAAAAAGGGCCGGACAAGATCCGCGGACTCAAATGATCGTTCTCGATCCTCACCTCTTCCTGCTAATAACATCGACATTGCATGTTTCGCATACATCATGAGCAAATCAACAGAAGAAGCTGAAATCCTTTGGAGAGTCTCTCAAGCAGAGTATGAAATAGACAATTGACATCTTCTTCATTTGGACCTTGAGTCCTCAACACAAGATGAGATTTGCCCCATCAGTGGAAAATGAACCAAATCTTCACCGAGATGAAGAATGTTCACACGATCACCACAGCTGATTTGATTGCATATTTGAGGAACCACCTGGGTTCTCTTTACTCTCTTCAAGCTTGTGCTCATCCTCTGTGCCTCAGATCTTCCTCTAGTGACTCAAGATGATCATTACTACATACTGCTTTTATTGATTTGAATCTGTGTTTAACTATAACTTACCATAAGGGCAACTGTACTAATCCTTGTTTGGTATAACATGTAAATTTGCTGTGCACAATCTCACGGTCGGATGAAAACCCAAATTTCGCCGAGCCACGAGCACAATCTCATTGTGCTCACGGAAACTCTTGCACGTGTGTTAGATCAGATCATTAGATAATCAATCCAGCTTGGCTAGGAATTTCAGGGAGAGGAACAAGTTCAATTTTTGTCCTGTGTTCTCTGGCCAGAAACAAACAATAGAAAGAAACATGCAAGAATGCTTGATATTTACCTTTTTTTCCTTACGAAATATTATCTACATAATACCCTTATACAAGATCATTCTCACCCTTGCGGAGATTGCATCAGCTATTTTCCTCTAATGCCAAAATTTGTTATTTCAAACAAATCCCTGACTCCCTGAATCCTCCTGCCCACTTCGCTGCTAAGTTCCTTCCACTACGGTATTCTTAAGCTAATGACATTTTGTGCTCCAGCCCGTTTCTTTTCCTTTTAAGTGAAATCTGTGAAAATTTTGGATCGTCCAGGAAAATTAGACCATCTCCAAAATCTTTATATTTCCCGTGGAATTTGCAGCAACCAAGGTTGAGGACTGGCCTCGCCAACAAACTGAAGAAATGAACTGTGCCGCATCATCCATTTCAGGGCCCGAAAGTACATCTGTCCCATTGAATTTGAATGATAATGCAGGCATAGGGAAAGCCTTGTGGTAGATGAAAACCTGTTGACATGGAAACACAGCCGTAAGCCTAGAGATCAAAATGACTTTAAAAATCTTAGGCAAACGAGTGCTTTCTTGTCTGCTACACCAACAAAAAGGCACGCACTGCAATCATACCATTAATAGAGGTGCAAAATGTCCATCAAAAATTGCATATTGGTTATGAAATGTATAGATCAGAAAATTTAGCTACTTGGAAACCGATTTTCCTAGAGAGTGCAAGGTAATCTTCTTGCATGATTGCATCACATACACTACAAGATAATTAATATAATGCCCTCTTCGAACTCCGAGTATACTGATTATAAATTGTCAATAGTCATCACAAAATTGATAAGGGATATGTTTGAATAGCAGGATCAGTGCAGCATAGGTATGTGTTCATTCATGCAGACATAAATAAGGGGGATATCTTGCCATCTGAAGTACCTCATTTGTTTCTGAACCTGTTGCTATGTAGCCATCAGACACTGACATGCCAACAAAGTTCTGCAAGAATAACATTTCGATGGGATATCAAAGATGGGACAATACCCAAGAAAATTTGAACAAGAAAATATTTAAGCCTGAAGCCATGATGACAAATCAATTAGTCAGATAATAACACCATAGTGCCTCCGAGTTTTAGGCTAAAGTCACTCTCGTCAAAAACCCTAATGCCATATAAAGGGACTTCTGGCTCTGCAACTAACACTTCTTGTAGCTTCACATCAAAACTTGGGTGACTCATGCACTGCTATAGCATTTTGATTTATGATCTCTATTGAACTCATATCTAAGGTATGATAGGAGATCAACACTCCCACCTCCAAGTGAAACAAAAAATCATCCTCATAGCTGCCTTTACATCCTCCAATCCAATAGCCACAAGTCACCATGCTTCTTTGGAACAGTTTTTGGGCATCATCGTTTTGAAATTTTACACAGTTCTTTCCAGCAGGGCCATCAAATAAACATATCACTTGATAACAGCAGAGAAAATGGCCAGATTTGGCAAGGAGCCACCAGCTTTGAGTAGAAAAATCAGTGGGGATGAACGAGGTTAAAAAATGACCGGGTGCTAACCTTGCTCCGGTAATAAGCCTAGCAAACTCTCCCCAATCCCCCCCTCCCCTTTTTCTCCCTCCCTCTATTCTCTCTTATATCCCTACCTTCTTTTAAGATCAGGTCTACTTTTAGTCAGCTCATTTGTCATCTAAATAAGGACTGAAGGCTCTTAACCACATCCTCAGCTGATTTGATATGTTGTTTACTTACTGCACTTACTTATCATTCCACCTATAGAACATAACAATCCAACCCAAATCTTGTATAGCTAATCATATCCAAGAGAAAACACCGGAAGGAATAGCCACATGAGGCACTTGAGGAATTTCCAACATGGCTCTCCTATTAAAACCAGCTACACTTAATTTAATGGGAATTTTCTGCTTCCAGATTTTAATGGCAATATAGTACTAACTGGCTTTCAATGGAGAAGTTCCAATAACTCCACAATGGGATGGAAGACCACAAGCAAGTTTAGTGAAAGCAACAGAACTAAATGAACAAAAGAAAATGAGACTTCATCTAATATCAGGAGTACTGAGCAGAATTATATTGCCAGCTGTACCTTCACATTTGTGTGACCAGTAAATGATTGAACGGGAGTCTCAATAACTCGAGATGTGCACACTGACAAATCCCAAAGCTTCAAGGTGTTATCCGTGGATCCAGATACAATATTCACTGAATCCAGAAATTTGACATAACTGACGGTCTTGTTATGCCCAACTAATGTGCACAAAGGAGCTCTTGAATTACGGAGATCATAGTAATAAATCTTATGATCTGCTGAACCAAATGCAAGAGAATGGCCAGAATCTGAGGGAAACTGCACACTACATACATTTGCCTTGGTTTTGATGGTACCGATACTTACACCCTGCAGATGCAACCCATGTAAGAGAGAACAACTTATTACTCATCCTGAACAAGATATATATCGCAGTAAACTAGATTACTGTAGTACGTTTAGTTTCAAAGCTGACATCCACCAAGTGGAAAAGTATAATTGCCTGATTGATACTCCAAAGCTTGACAGAGCCATCATCACTCCCGCTAGCCAACAATGTTGGATCTGCAGATGAAAAGTCAATGGACCAAACTCTCCTTTCATGCTCTCTCATTTCCATGAGGATCTGACTTCTTGTAACATCCCAGACCTAAACATAATAACCACTTAAGTTTAACATAGGTCAATGAGAAGAGGAATGATAATAAATCAGACTCCACGTACCTGTACCACACCTTCAAAGTTACTCGAAGCAATCTGGCTTTTAATATATGTATTCCAGCATATACTACTGAATTTCGACCTACCGGCCATTTCAACCACTGGATAGTGGATATCACGATCTTCCATTAAGATAGCATCACACTCAAATACCTTGATTTTTTTATTTACACCAGCTGTGGCAAAATAGTCCCCATCTCGATCAAAACTAAGGGAGCACACTAAGTTGGATGAGTTGAGAAGATCCCCTTGTTTCAAGTCTGCCTTCACTTTCAACTTACTGAAAGATAGATACTTGCACAGTCCTTCGAGGAAAGGACTTATCCACCCACTCTTTCTATTTTCACTGTATCGCTCTCTTGATGCTGCTGTATTGATAGAACTCCTTTCGGTCATGACAACAGAACCTTTACCATCGCTGCTGAGAGGTGAAGGCTTCATCGATGGCCTCGTAGACTGCTTGAGTTGTCGATATCTAGTCAAGAAGTATGCCGACTCCAATTTGCTGAAGTTCTTCATCAATCGAGAGCTTTTTAAAAGAAAACTATCTCGTTTATCAACATGAGCATCTGATTTCTGATTATCATCAGGATCATAGCAGCATTCTTCCCCATTATGAACCAGCAGTCCCGGTCTGCATCGCTTTCTAGATCCCAGGCTAGTAGTATCATCATTATCAACAGTATCGTGTGAGGGGAGACTTGAAGCTGTCTGATCTTCCTGACCCAGTTCTGGGCATGAGTTTGCTCTATTCTTCAGATGTACCTGTTGCTTTGTTACTTCTTCAATATCGTCACGAAGAAGAGATAAAGTAGCTTGCAACTTATCAGCCACTTCTTGTTTTCTTTGTTGCATCAGCCAGAGAAACTCAAGCAACATTTCCTGTTCCTCTATTTTCTCTCTGAGCTCCATTGCTGCTTCACGTTCCTCCAGGTTATCTCTCGGCTCATTGAGAAACTGACTCTGCAACAATTCGCTGCGACACATCATTTAACAACAATATTAGAATGCAATGGCAGCCTCGCAGGCAACACAAACTTTCTAATAGGATTCAAGCCTTTTAGATATTAAAATCCTCAATGCACAGAAAGCAAACTAAGTTTGGTGTGTCCCAACTAAGGAGGATTCTAAAATACAATACGAAGTTGTTTTAGCATTAGCGACAACTACCAGACAAACCCCCTCCCCCCCTCCTACAAAAAAAGAAAATAAAAAAATACAGAAAAGGTTTTAAATAAAGAAAAGAAACAAGGATAGGATTGTGACCGTAGGTTGACAACTGCATGTAACAATTAGAGTACAATTACAATACAAAAGGAAGTACGATTGCCAATACAAAAGTAACATCGAATGTCAAAACTGTACAGAACTGCATCAAAGTTAATTCATGTCATTTAACTAAGTCAATGTGAAACATTTAAAAACTTTTATACTCAAAATTTAAACAAATCCTACCAAAGCAAATATCTGATGATGAAGTTGCCACAGATAATATGGTAAGCGTTGGTTACTGAGGACTCACTCAGAGAAGAAAGATGTGTTGCGGACTTCAATCATAATTGCACTATGTGACCTTAGCACTTCTAGGACCAGAAACTTGAAAATTATGATAAGAATTTATTCAATACCAACTGATGGTAATGGCAATTGAAGCCCCATCCAGGAGATGAATGTTTAAGGGCCTTGAACGTACAGTCCCAAGCATGGACTTGAATCATAATTGCACTACGTGACCTGAAGCACTTCTAGAACCCGCAATTTAGATATGATAAGACTTTATTAAATACCAACAGATGACAATGGCAAATGAAGCCCCATCCAGGAGACGATGAGGGCCTAAAATATATAGTCCCAAACATGTACAAGAGGGTTTGAGATGGTAACTATACCTAATGAAGTTTAAAACGACAACATATTTAATGTACTCTACTCTTCACCATCCTTTATAGAGTGTGAATGGCTAGATGTGTTTAACAACCTTTTGGCTCTTACATCATAACTAATCACTCTTTGTAAAGAAGAGATAGTGGGCTGAAGATTATGCACAAACATCAATCCACAAAGACAGTTTGTGGGAAACAGTTAGGATAGATCTTCTGCATTCTTCAAAATCCTCACGGTAGTCTTGTAAGCACTTAGGTTGTCATATTGTGGGTGTTTTTCAATCCTGTGATCGCACTCTCGACTGAAAGTGTGTCCATTATGTTGACATGGACATGCTGATGATCCAACTAGGACAATCGAGTACCAAACTTGTTTTTGCTAGATATTCCAAACCTTAGAAACACATACGTTTTTATATATATGATTGGAATCTTTCAGTCCATTGCATGTACATCACTGCTATATAAGCATCAAACACACTTCGGTGCATTTATGCTTATATGGAAAAGAATGAGACCTCCAAGGACTATTGGGAAATAAAAAATGAGGATGCATAACAAACTGCAACTTATGAGGAAATTAACAAAATCCCAGGCTAAAGTCTCGTACTTCCACTAGGCTATGAAAGAGACACATGCACCATTCACTTGCAACTAGTTAGAGAGGAGACACGACAGTTTAGACAAAGTAGCAGCAAATTTAAGGAAAAGCCATGAAAAAGACATATTACGACAAAGACCGCTATTTCTACAAAGCTAACACAAGTAATTATACACAAGATACATTTTGAACTGGCAAATAGCACGATGAAAGGAATAACCACCTCATCATTGGTCGACTTCTGGGCTCTGGATGGAGTAACCATAAGCAAAACGAAGCTTCTTTTGGCCATTTTAGCAGCAGTTGAGGAGGAAGAAGCCGATGTCTCAGACTAGACATCGTTATGCATTTTTCTTCACTGGAGCTGAATGGACAAAATAACTGCTCAAAAAGAGAGGAACCTCATCAGTATACAGAAGCAATTTGCAACATCTTATAATTCATTTCTTCCCAAGTTATCATATAAAAAAAGAGAGCCAACAAAATTCACTACTTGAATTTCACAGACAAACCTCGAAAAGGAGGATGCCCAACCGGTATATATCTGACGCACAGAAACTAGGGGCCCCAGCAACCTCCTCAGGGCTAGTATACCAACCTGCTTCCATGAGCAACACCTGTTTCATGGGAAAATGTGGGGCATTCTCTTTCGCCTGTTCAGCGATGCTCCCATCTTTAATCTTATTGTCCCTGATCTCTTCAACTAATGAAACTTTGGCCGCATAAATGGAGCTCGACCGGATGTGACTATTACCCAATAGTGCAATAGTGGGAGTTTCCGCGGAATGAGAATTCTCACTTCTTCTCTGCTGATGCATGTCATGGGGAAAGGAAGAGGATTCATCCTTCGCCTCAGTCCGGCTATTTGACCCATCTTCCAAAGAATCGGATCCTGAATCTGAACAAGAAGCGGATTCTATGAAGGAGACCCGGTTGAAAGAAGACATAACAAAGCAAGAAGGCCGCACATTTTGGATGACAACTCCTTGTGAATGGGCAACATTCACTATCTCCACTATTTGCCTAAATATATGCAAACATTCAAATTCATCCACTTGTCGATCCGGTTTGTCCAACCACTGTCTCAAGCTAACATCATCCCACTCTAGGGCACGGAAGAAAGGGTTAACCGTTAGCTCCTCCTCGAAATCACGAGATAATCCGGCTTGATTTCTAAGGCTATCGGCAGAAGCAGAAAGAACTCGATCTCTTACCTTTCTAAAAGCAAAATCCTGCTGTGCATCACCCGAAAAATCGATTCTCTCGCCACGAAGGAACCTCAGATTCCTGTCCGAGACATTAGATGTACTTAATCCCCGAGAATTATCAGACTTCTGCCAAGCAGAATCAGATGAACCTTCCATGGTTATCCACCCAAAGCTGCATGAAGCCCACAAAACACACATCCAACAAAGGGAGGTATTCGCCGACTTCTACCGACTTCCACCGTCACCATGGGCATCACGAAACAAACTCCGAAGCAAACCAACAGATCGAACCCAACTACCGAAAAGGTCAAATGCCCGATTCCTTCGTGGCAGTAGAATACCTGGTGGGCTTTAGATTAAATACGAGAAACGAAATGGGTTTGCACAAAACGAACTAGGCAAGCCATACCAGAAACAAGAAATTCAGCAGAGAAGCCTCGAAACCTACGGGAAGATCACGTTTCTCAGCAGGAACCAAATAAAGTAACAGCAAAAGCGAGCACATAGAGAAAAGCGAAAAAGTACCTCGAATATATATTCTAGCCAAACAATGCACCAGCAGATACAAAGGGTATTCTCGCATGGAGCTTTGTGTCCATCCCTTCAGGCCGTGGGTGCGTGTGCGTGTTTGAAGGAGAAGGGGAGAGAGAGAGAGAGAGAGAGAGAGAGAGATATGGAGAGAGGGAGGGTGTACCAGTACGGTTGTGAGCACACCAAAGAATGATCTTCTTCTCCCACTGTTCCTGCTAGGCTAACCTGAGAAAGAGAACCACACACCGAAAACTTTAATTGCACTCCTCCCCTACAGAGGCACCACAGCCTCATAAATTCTCCTCATTTCTTCCACGCGGCCAAAAAACCCACAAAAAAAAAAAAAACCACCCCACGAAAAAACTAGGCCGTCCGTGACCAAAAAAAAAAAAACAGAATATACACATTTCACACACAGATAAATCTATACGATCCTGCTTTTTTTATTGTTGTTTGCTTGTGTTTCCTTCATCCTTTATCTTCCCGCTTTTTTCCCACCTGCGTACGTGGCGCAACCACGGCCTCAGGCTAGGGTTTATCTCGAGAACAGGGAAGCTGAGAGGAAAGCAATATACAAAAGAACGGCGTGGGGGCCATGGGGAATAAAATAACCCGAAAGTATCCCCCCCTCCCCCCATTTCTCCGTGCTCTTCTCGCCCTCCTCCGGAAAGTTGTCGCGGGATTAGGTGTTCCCAGAAGAAAGTTCTTACCTATAAGTGGAAAGCGGGAGGTGAAATCAGCTCAGGACACTTGAAATGATTAAACAATGGAGCAACTTGGGATTAAACAAACATTAGATTCAAGCGTCATCTGCCCGGGTTCTCCGAAACCAGTTCGTGAAATTCAGTTCTCTCTCTTCTTTTGTGCGATTAAACTAATCCCTCCCGAAATGATTGCTCGTTCGCCGAGCACGTGGGCCGAACGATTTGGAGAACGCACTGTCGCTCGAGCACTAATAATCCTCCTGATTACGGCATACTTCGTCCAACGGAGGAGACGAATACACTTTCTCGCTCCTCATCAATTACCTAAAATAGAAACGCTTTTTTTTTTTGTTCTTCCAATCTACGAACAAACCTTAGAATAGGAACTGAATTAGCAGCGGCGCGCGCGTACCTGTGCGAGCTACGCGACGAAGGTCGGCGGGCGGCCTCGTACCGCGGAATCCGGGTCGGATCGCTCGCGCGAAATCGGATACGGATCGGAATTGGCGATCCGCATCTGCATTGGCAGCGGCGCTCCGCTCGAAGAACGGAGCGGCGAAGCGGCGGGAGCAACGCGGCGAGGAGGCGGTGATCACGCGACGAGGGAGGTCGAGATCGGTACGGGCTTCTCCGGCGAAACCCGCCGGGATTCGTGGAGATTCCCGAGCTCGCGCGAACGGAATTTCGCCGGGGGGAAAATCTGTGCTCGAAGGAGGGATTCAGCGGAGGAGGGGGGCGACGAGGGAGAGCATCTTCTCGGCGACGCTGTGTCGTTTTGGCTAACGACGATGATTATGGAAACAAGCTTCTCTAATCGGGGCTTAATTAGTACATTAAGTGGGATCCACGTGTGATTGACGCGTATGATGATATTTTCGACGAGTAGAAAGACGATTTTGCGTCGTCTGTGTGCCCGGGGTCAACGATTCTCGCACGGGACGTGTGCATGTTCAACGTTCACTATTTTTTCTATTCCCGCGCTTTGGGAGTAAAATGTTGAATGCATCGGGACGATATTGGGGGTAACGCTTTTAGAATCGTCGATGTAATTGTAGGTAGACCAATTGAGGTGCGCGAAATTTGATTTAGATGTTCATCTGACCGCTTAAAAAGCAGATGATGATAAAAGTAATCAAAAAAATTCGCTTGCATAATGTGTATATCGAGCATAATTTAATTTCTTTTGATAAACGGAAATTTACCAAGCCCAAGACTTCCGGTGTTCTGGCCACGAAGTAGAAATTAGTGCCCAAATTGAGATGGATTAATACCATTGAAAAATCCCTAGCTAGATACTCTTCACGATGTGTGTATCTCAGACTAATTTTCGTCTCACAAAAAATTCACGAATTAGTACTCTTATGAGATATTTACCCGTGCCTAATTTTCACCACACATGAACATCCCAAACAATCCACGTTTACCCAAACTATATTTCTTTTCTTAAAAAAAAAACCAAATCGGTATCCCTAACCCATATCTATTTTTTGTTAGCATTCTGTTTAATATTAATGTATTCATGTCAATAGCGAAGGACTATAAGATGAATCCGACGTAGAAAATTGACATGTTAACACATGCATTTTAATGGAAGGTAGATTTTAGATAGGGGTTTGATGATCTTCTGCTTTATCTCCAATCATTATTTTCATTTAGCCACTTAGATTATGTCACTTGTAACCTTTTAATCTGTACACGCTTGTCTCATTCTCCACCAAGTGTTTTTAACCCTAGTGTCATCATGGCTTTTGACCTTAGTTAACTAATATCTATTATTTTTAACTCACGAGAAACCCAAGTCGAGGTCTTCTCTATCTCTCTTCTTAATGCTTGAAATGATTATAACTCAAATAATGTTTCCTCGTTCGTGTATTTTACTTGGCCAATGATGATTTCTCTCTTTCCAATCAAATATTTTCATCTTTCCATCCAAAATCTTGTCATTTGTCACTCAAATAATAACTCATATGTTCTTAAATGGTGACATTGAACTTGGTCTATCAAATTACATCATGCATGACATCATGAATGCCGTAGTGTTCTAAATCTAGTTACTTTATATCGTAATTATAACCCTAATTAATTAACATGAGTTGAAGTTATTCTTTAAAATAAATAAAGGAGGAAGAAAAATTCATTTCCCCTTCTCCTCCTTGGAAGAGCAACTTCATCACATAATCTTCAGGTGCAATTTATCTTTTCCCTTCCAAAACAACAAGTAAAGCTTTCCCTTAAATTTCAATCAAGCTCCAAAATTTATTCGACTTGGTTTGTTTGAGCTTTCAATATCATCTTTCTGGTATTTACAAGATAAAAGTTCATGGACTTCATTTTCTTTTTTGTCAATTCTTGAAATGAGTGTTGATTTCGATGTCATCATGTGCACAGCTGCCGTGTGATTTAATATGGAAAGTATTATGAAAATTATTTCCGTCACCTAAATATTAGTGGCGATGATGCCTTGGAGTTGGGATGCCCCGGGAGTATTTAGGATGCCTCGGAGTTGAGATGCCATGTGTGTCGAAATACTCCGAGACCTGGGATGAGATGATATGTTAATGACGAATATATTCACACATGTTTATTAATAAACTAATTGGTGATAATTATGCAACACAATATGTATGCCATCCGCTTGCATTTGAATGAATAATCTTATGCATTATTATTAATGGTTTTCATCGGCACATCATGATAGGAAATGATAGTGTATTTATTCATTCAATTGCCTCTTATAGTTATCTTGTACTGTCTTGAACTAATGTTGTTTGTTGGTATCAGATTGAATGGTAAGATGGTTTCATATCTTAGACTTAGAGATTTTATTTATTGGGCTTCGGCACACCCAGACATGTAAGATAGATCCCCCACCGTTATTGCTTATTAGAGCTCCCATGTATTTTGATTGTGAATACCAAGGTGTGCTTGTACCTTAATCGATGGTAGTATATACTAAATGTTTCAACCGTATGAGTTGATTGGAAGTTTGTTGGACCACTTATGAGTTCGATGTTCCCTTTGGTTTCGACAGTGATGGCTTGTCAATGGGTGTGTTGTCGATCCATAGTTTAGTGTGTGACTTTTGTACATATTTGTGGAGGAGTGGTGTGATAGTTTTAAGTGCCCCGACCCATCCCAGGACTTTTGTAATGTATTGTATTTGTTTGAATACCGTATCAAGATAGCAACTAGTGGTGTTAATATAAATAAGTTTATGTATATTAAACCTGTTGGATTTCTTGTATGGGGGTGATTTGAGTATTTTATTGTACTTTCATATACTAATAATAATTATGAATTATAATAAGAAAAGATACATGTCGACGTGACATTATGGAGAATCGCATGTTATATGCACAACACTTTCTTTCACCGTTAATTTGCATACTTATATTGTTAAATAGTTATCCAAATCAATAACGATAAAGGCAACTTGTGTAAAAGAAATAGAAAAAAAAAATACACGACCTATGTGTCCTATTAAGTAATTACAATGCGAAAACATTATCGTTTTGAATGTATATAGTTTTCAGCAAACTTATATAACGCGAAAAGCAAGAAAAACTGTAAAGTTCCTCAAATGCACCAACTTTTTAGTTTCTTTTTCCCGGTTATGAAATTTACCGTCGTTGAATATTGGAGCATTTTGTTTTGAATTTTGATTTTTTTAAAAGAATGTTGCCGTACTCACACTATGGCTTTTATTTAGCACGAAGCATTTGTGTCCTTTCAAGGTGTTTAAATATCGACAAGTAGGTTATCATTTCTTAATTTTCATCACTTTTTATACTGACGATATTGTTTATATCCGCAGAATTTAGAGAAGGAACGACTTAAAATCCCGCGAAGCAGACCCGAAATATAAAGGCTCGAAATTAGGAGTTGAAAGATAAGATTTCCAAAGTTAAAAAAGGCTACGGCCCGGCACGAGCGACGTCGAAATTTTGACGCTAGCAGCACACAGGCCTACTACGTAAAGGTCTGGAGACATCCACCCCGTTACACGGGGGATTGATTGGCCCTGCTCAATGGGCTCAAAGATTGCCCCAATGGGCTAACAGAGCTAGCTAGCACAAAGGTACGTGACATAATCGAGGCGTGAAGGATTTTTTTTTAAGCGTGTATCACGTCTCGGGCATTTCTGAAAGGGATAACAGCTCATATGATCTCATGAACTTTAGTTCAGTGTGCAATATCATGTTCATGAACTTTTAATTCATGCAATGTTGTTCCTAAATTTCTAATTTGTTCAATATGATCCCCGAACTATTGGTAAGGGTTCAATGTATGAAAATGTTTAGAAGTTGTAATGTTATCCATGAACTTTTAATTTATGCAATGTGGTTCCTCAACTTTGGTCCAATGTTTAATGTCGTCCCTAGACTTTTAATTTATGCAATATGGCCTCCGAACTATTTGTAGATCAGATATCATATTGAACGAATTAAGAGTTTACAGACGACATTGCACATTGGGTCAAAATTCAAGAACCGCTTATGTCATTTTCCCTTTTTGAAATAATAGTCGCCTAATATCATTACATTCTTTTTTATCTAGCTGGACAATCTGGTGATGATTCAGCGATATTGAAACATTGTTGCTCGAAAACGACATGAACTATTCCCCTATGAATGTCCGAGGCATCCTTTTGATCCAGAACAATGCGTAAGGCTTGTCAACGGGTCGGTGTACAGAACAAACGGATACAGCTCGAGATTGAGAGAATAATAATAGGCAAAAATGTCTTCGTGGCCATCACCTTTGATGATCAAAACCGAGACAAAGGAACGTGTCATGGTCAAATCGATTTGCAAAGTCTAAAGCCACTTTGAATATATACCCCTTTTTGTCCTTTCCTCTTGCTTTCGGCCCTCTTTTTCACGCATGTTACAGGAAGATACGAGGTTTAGAACAATTGTAAATTAGGGATGCATCATATAACAGATGAATTCATTCTTCAAGTAAGGTAAGATAGTGAAAGAGAGATCATACCTACTTAACCCTTTGTCATTGCACGTGCACTTTGCAATCACATATCTGTAATGTATGTCTCCATATTCAATCCGGAAACTCTTCCTCATCCCTCGAACTCATGGTCGCTAGGCCGTGTGCGCACTGTGGTGGGGACCTGGAATTTTGTGATCTTTACTTGAAAGGCGCGAAATCGTTAAAATTCCCCTGCAGAATCAAATGATAACACATATCTCAGGAGTCTTTAACATCTTCATTTTACGGTCTAATTATGCCTTACGCAAATCGAAATCGATTTTTCAGTGCTGGTTTTAAGCATATTCTAGACAAGACCATAGTGTGAGACAGCTATCCACCTTTTCCTCTGGCTTTTGGGTTCTCAACTTTAGCTTGATACATTTAGAATTTAGTGTTGGAAGAAGAACACACATCTGGCTTGATACTTACTGAGCTGATCACATGTTAGAAGTGATCGCATTTTGGAACTCGGACAGTTCATGCCCATCTCACGAAATTTCTTCAATCTTTCTAACATGTTCTTCTCGCATCAGATCAAGGAAGCGAGACCAGAGAGAAGCCGAGAGAAAGGTAAGGTGAAGGGGGGTAAGTTTTGAATTTTTTCTGTACAGTGGCGAGCATGGATGGAGTTCGCTCCTCAGGGGGGAAGCAGGGTCAATGCCAACGAAGCACGGAACCTGTCAACCCGACCTTGGCATTTCACCAGTTCCAGTTCATCCATTCCCTCACGTCCGTTTCCCCCTGAATAAAATAATCCCGAATTAGTACGAATTGCATCGGATTTGGATTTGGATCAGATTGCTTTTGGACAATCTTCTTCCCGATATGTCATGTGAATCCATATCTGCACGCCTTTTCTAATCCCATCTCGCCCCCCCCGCCACCTATCCCGTTCTTCACGTTCTTCTGCTTCAACCCCGAGACAAAAAGAGCGAAAAAGTTGCTTCCTTTATATTCGCCCACTCGACTCCTTTCTCTTTCGCGTCCTTCGTTGCTCCAACAAGGGCAGGTTCTGAGGGAGAGCTTTGGATGGTGATTGATCCGGATTTGCTGATTTCGCGGTCGTTTTCTTAAGTGGGTTTCGTGAATTGGGATTGCGAATCACGGGTTGGGTGTAGGATCGGAGTTGATGTGGATGGGTTTTTCGGGTTTCGAAGCGTGCCTAGGGTTTTGGGTTGGTGCGTGATTATGACCCTCGAAATATACAAATTGAACCTTTAGATGGTTTTCTGGCAACTGCTTCAGCTGACGTGAGAGAGAATCAGCATTTATACCAAGCCATGTAATGTGAGGATACAGTTCTAGGGTCTAGAGGTTGTTCGTCTAGGAATCAATTCGATTCAGCAGAAAGATCAAGACCCACGTTTTGGTTCCTTCCTCGGATGGCCTCACCTGGGTTCTTCCTGATTTGCGTGTTGCATTCGCTGGTGGCGCTCACGACTGGCGCTCTCATGATGTTCTATTCCGCAGAGATATCTGCCATCAAATCCCAAGGTTCTACCCCTCACGATCAGCTCCTGATTCGGACCTCCGATTCGTTCTCGGGCTTGCTTCTGGTCGCCATCGGGTCCTTGTTGCTGATGGTGGCGTTTGTGAAGGACAGGGAGTTCCAGAGCTTCTTTGCAAAAGGGTGTGTTGTGTTGCATGTGGGCATGGCGGTGTGGAGGTTTTGCTTTGAGAGGAAGCTTGAGGAGCTTGTGGGTGAGTGGCCCAAGCAAGTTCTGGGTGATATTGCACTTGCAGTTTCGTGGATTTTCTTTCTCGTCTATTCATGGAGAGAGAAGTACGATTAGCTCGTGGAGTGAATTGCAGTGAAGCAATAGAAAGAGAGAACTCTGAGTTTCTGCAGATTGAAATAGAGAGATGGTGCTTGGTGAAATCATGCAATGCTTAGGTGAGATCCAATTGAGGTTCCGAGCAGGACGTGAAGTAAGTTGTGAATTCTGGGTTTCAGGAAAAGGAGGATGGTTTTGCAACTGGAGTAATTATACGAAGGGTGAAAAGAAAATTACAATTTTCGTTGGGGTCATTTTAGATGGTGAAGTTTCGATTTTCATCTTTTTTGTTATGATCTTTGAGGAGTGAAAGGAACTGATCAGGAGTTAGCTTATTTGCTGGACCACCATGGTTCTTCATTTAGCTCAGAATTCAGAAACCGCAGCCGTATCATATGGGCTTTACTGCTCTTGCTGGCTGAACGCAATCCAATTTTTGCCTGTAAATTTTTGTCATATGTGGAATAAATACCCTTTTCTCTGATTCTCTCCTGTGTTTGAGCATCTATCGAAGGTTACCATGATAAAAGAGCCAAATGAAGCAATTGCCGAAAGAGGAAAATATAACCACCATTTTATTTCAGAGTTCTGAACTCACTGGGAACAAGACTCCCCATTTGGAATATCAAGTTGGCTTTTCATCGCCAATCTTGAGATTCATACTACTCGGTACTCTGGCTGATACAATGCATGAATTGAGGAGCTACGTGAAGAACAAATGCACAGTTGAAGCCTGTCTGTCGACTGTGAAAATTTGGACGCATGTTCTATACACACTGCAACACTAAGTACTGGCTTTGATCATATGATCTGATATCATGCCACCGCTCATCACATAATCCACTAGGATATAACGGCTAACGGATATGCATTTGAATATTTTCCATATTATATATTTATGAACTTGTGATTAAGTGAGATATGTACCTGAGCGATCACTTCTCTAATATAAAAATTGATTCCTCTTCTTTTTCTTTGCCATTAATAATTGGTTCTCGTTGACCAAATGATATGTCAGTGTATGGCAGCATGTGCTTACTGGGTCCTAATAACCCCTGTTTCCTGCTCAAAGTTCTTTGGAGTCACTTTTAGAGTTCTTATAAGTAATGTAGCAATATTCAAGTTAGACTGGATTGAACATGCCATTGATGTGGTTGAGACAATAACAATAGAAAAGGGATAGTTAAGTGTCATGGTCCAGAGGTTTTCAAGGCACGATGGACCGAGGATGCTCCAAGATAATTGAGCGGGCCTTAAAATGTACACTGTATTTAAGAGCATTCTTGTGATTAATGCAGATAGTTGGTAGATAGGGAAATGTAGTCTCCATCATTAGATCACGAGGAAATCTACTATTGTTAATTAGAGGCATTCTTGTATAAATAAGGTTGCCCTACCCTTATTTGTATCGTCTCGCAATTAATAAAAATCCAGAGCAACTTTCCCTACGAGTTTCTCTCTAGAATCCCCGTGAGCATTGAGAGTTTGGCTAACCCGGGAAGAGCTTCTTTACCTATGCGGGCAAGAGTTTCTTAAGCCCGCATGGGTAAGGGAACACTAGATCAACCAGTTCGTGAAAACTCAAGATATGTTAAGAATGATTAATGAAGTTGCTAGGCCAATGTGGTTGACCGCAAAGAAGTTGCAAATTACTAACTAATTTCATCCAAATTAAAAACGTCTGGGATTTCCTTTGGAGAACGGAGGATAGGATTGAACTCAAGTTACAAAGCTACGTGCATCCAAAAACGCCGTCGAAACAACCGATCTAATGTCAAATCTAGTCTAATAAAAAAATTTCATGGGTCGAGAAAGAGGGCCCAATTGAAAAAAGTTAGCAAAAAAGACGTGGCCCATTTGGCACCGCCAAAATCGCTGCAACAGTCGTTCCGTTGCTGCCCATTCTTGCATCCTGCGTTCTGCCATTCCGCTGCCGAAGTCGAAAGTTCTCCTCCTGCCATAGCAAAAAGTGTAAGATTCCTCCCTCCTTTCTTCCCTCTCTCTCTCTCTCTCTCCTCTTTCTCTCTCTATTCGCTGTTCTTGCTCCTTCTCCTGTCTTCAATGGTAGTCTGATTGCTGTTCGAGACGATCGTTTGCTCAATTCGTTGTTTAATTATCCCCGGGTCATCTCTATTCTTCGGCTGCCGGGCCCTCGGCGATTTCCTCCGCACGCCAAAGTCTTTGCCCTTTGTTTTGCTCGCGTTTGATTTGGCTCGCCTCGGGTACGAGATGCGCCCTACGTGTTTGTTCAAATTTCTCTTTAGCTGCTTCATGCTGAACGTATTCGGAGCGCAAATACCCATCACGGCGTGTGTGCGGACGGGGATGTCAAGTTTTTTTTTTCCTTTTCTTTTGGGCCATCTGTTCGAGCTTTTACCGGTTAATTAATCTTTCTTTCTTTTTTTATAGCTTATAGCTGGCTACTTAGAGGTGATTTTTTGGTATCTGCTCTGTGTCTTCTGTGGGAAACTGAAGAGGCAGGGGAAAGAATTCGTCGATGAAATTCTTGCATGGTTATATGTTTTATGTGTGCCTAATGCATCGAACATGGGGTCCATAAAGCGGAAAGTCACCGAGAGCCAAGAGTTTCAGAGAAAATTTCCTGTAAAAGTTGGGGGGGTGGGGAAGCCTGATAACCCCTAAAAATGTCCTCTCACATGCTTGTATGGCCTATAAATATGCAAACTGAAAGTTCCAGTTGTCTGGATTGGGGCAGTACATTCTCCTGTGGTGCGCTTGTTGATTGGCTTTGGTTCTTGTGCTCAATGTTCAGTATCAAATTTAGCTTCTGTCTTGAAGTGAGTTCAGGGGCTTAATCGGCCTCGATATTTTTTTTGAAGGAAACTGAAGGTGAAAATTGATTATCAATAAATGTCAATTGAATATTGGTAAATGTCGGTAATTTATGTTTATGTTTGTTATTTGCACTTGATTTGAAGACGAGGAGAAACCTGTGTTGGTCGTGCCTGTGTAGCTGATAATTTGGCAGTTTCATTACCATGTGTGCTTCTCAAGCTTCATTCATCTTTCTAATTGTTTGTACTTTTTCTTCTTCTTTTTTTCATCCGTGTTTCTTATCAGGAGGCATAGTCTCCAAGTGTACTGAGGATGGGAGGTTTTCCTTTGGAAAATGGCCCCTCAGCCATGGCTTTGCCAGGTTCACAGCAAACCCAAGTTTCTGCTGTAAAAACAACTGCACCCGAGTCAAAGCCAAAAAAGAAGATCTGTTGCGCTTGCCCTGACACGAAGAAGCTGAGAGATGAGTGCATCGTACAGCATGGTGAAGATGCTTGCAAAAAATGGATTGAGGCTCATCTAACATGCCTCCGTGCAGAGGGATTCAATGTTTGAGTTCAACTGAGATGGGATTTGAACTGACAACAAGTTGAGATACATTTAGCTGATAGAGACTACATACTGGGACGGTTTTACTGAGATCGGATTTAAAAAATAAGTGAGAAGACAGCATTTTGCTGGAGTTTTGAATTGATACATTAACACGACCCATGCCTTTTCTTTTTGTTCTCGAATGATGAATGTGTAACCGATTATGGTGATTATACCTTTCTTTGAGACAGAGGCTCTGATTCGATTTTCTTTAGTGGAGTGATTTCACTCTCACCCATCCACAGTTGGGTTGGTCGTTTCATCTATGACAATTTGTGTTCATAAGCAGAGATGTTTCTGACACTTGGAAGTAACACTTTTGTTGATAGTTTTTTTAGGCTTCTTGTTAGCTCATATTCTGTTAAGGCTACTTAGTTCTTAAATCACATGTATAGTCTGGGAGGAGCAGCTAATGGTGACTGGTCTATCAAGGTGGATTAATGTGAGTGTGCACAAGGGTTTTCATTTCCTTCTGCGCCATGCAAATGATCCCAGTCCGTTGGGATGCAGAACCGGTACGAATTCTTGCATGGTGCTACTGACATCTTTGAACAACTTTCATGATCGCTTCACGGTCAGTAGTATGAATTGTTGCATCTTCATTCATCAAGCAGCTTGTGTATATGTGGATGGTTCTGATCTGAGAGCTGCAAATTCATCTACTCTCTTGTTCCTTCTTCCTCCAGTCCATAACCATCTGAGAGTCATCGGCCATGTCTTGATTCGCCTCTCATCTCTGAGCCCAGTTTTCTTTCAGGGCAAAAGACTAGGAATCTAGTGAAGCTTTTCTGATAATGTAAGTGTAGCATAAGCTTCATCTCTTTTGAATCTTTTTGTGTTTATTGCAAGCCTGCAGCCATGTTCCTCCTTAGCCTAAGTTGCAGCAGTATCTTTGGTTGACGGAGCACCTTGTTTGTTATGAATCTATTTGAGACTTTGTCCAAATTGTTCATAGGCTGATAAAAAGGAAGGTCTAGGCGATGATCAAGCAGCATGAAGATTTGGCCGCTGAGGTTCTGAGCCAAAATGCTGGAGATGATGAGACTAATTTCGCAAGATTTGAAATATATTTAAGGCTTCGTTTGTTTAGTGAAAAATAAATAATTTAGCAAATATTTTCCTAAAAATGATTACTTGTATTGCTTAAAGAAATGAATGAACGAAAAAAAAAATTTCATCGTCCAAGTAAATGTTTTAGATATAAGTTGTTATCGGTTAATAAGGTAATTATTTAAAGCTATGCGAGCGATCATTTGTAGGAAAATATTTTCTAATTCATATATTTTTTCGTGAAATAGGCGGAGCCTTAGTATATTTGTTAGTATTTGAGATATAGAGAGTGATTTGCAATGCCCTTGACAAACTATCCAGAAGCCGATTCGATTGGAGTAGGAATAGACATCTGGCTCCCACCATCAGATCAAGAGCTCAAATTTAATGTAGATGTTGCGTGGAAAGATAACAGAGGAGCCATAGGTATCATTGCACGATCGGCTAGCGGATTAGTAGTCCAAGCTTGGACAAGGAGAGGACGTTGGAACTCGCCGATGGAAGTGGAAGCAGCAGCTCTCCTTCTCGCCTACAATTATGCTAAGTCCCTAAGCATTCGAAAAGCGATCTTTGAAAGCGATTGTAAGGTCTTAATTGATGCCATCCAACAAAAGGGTCTTTGCCCCTTTGAGTATTCAACCTTTCGTTGCAGATTCTCGCTTTCAATTTCAGCACAATCCAAGTTGGAGCTTGGACTGGACCCGTAGATCCAAGAATGGAGCTGCTCATGCATTTGCAAATTGGGCCTCTAATCATATAGGCACCACATCCTCTTTTCTTTACCATGATCTCCCTTCTAGAGTTAAAAATATTGTACTAGTAGAGTCTTCTTTTATATTTCGCTCTAATGTAGGTAATGCTTCCTTTTTGTAATCGCTTTGTTTGCAATATAAAGTTTAATTTCTAGCAAAAAAAAAATTGATAAATTATTGTCAAGCGAGTGAGGTGCTGTTTGCGTTCATTTAATTTTCTACCAGTGAAGGTGCACACTCGTCATGTATTTACAAAAATTGATTTCGCAAGATCGTTCATATTAAGAAATATTTGAATTGCTATTCAATACAAAGGAATTATTGACACGATATGAAGAAGTTATTCATGCATGCTCGTAAAGAGAAATATATATATAGATTTCAACTTTTTATTATAAAGGTAAGGTAGAGAAGATTAAAATTAAAATTGAACTATATGACTGCTAAGATATAATTACCAATTTGCGTATTTAAACAACTAGATACGATGTGGAAGAAAAAAAAAGGAATTGTGATCCCTTAAAAGTATAAGGTCTTCTTTGCTTCATATAATAGATAATGATATTTGTTCATTTATAGTACATAAAAAGGTTAATACCATGAAACCCAAACTAATATACCTGTGACAAATTTATCACAAACTAATTTTTTACTACCAAAAATCCCAAACTGGTACATTTATGACAAATTTATCATCCGTCAAATTGGATTAATACCATAAAAAATCATAAACTGGTACATCTGTAAAACCCCAAACTAGTACACCCGTCAACTACCACGAGTTATCCAACTTAGAAATTTGATGGAAAAATTTAACAGAAACTAACGGAGGGTAAAATTATCATATGTGTACCAGTTTGGGATTTTTCGTGATATTAATGCTAAATAATAAAACTGGCTGGCTTATTTTTCATTTCTTCACATGTTTCTTAATTTTCTAGACCGTTTCGCTACACGAAAATCCAAATAGGCTTTTGAACATCGCTTTTGTGAATTATGTTGAGCATGTGTAAGTGCTAATTATGGATTGAACGCAACCTTGAGGAATGCTAGGTATAATTATAAGAGGACATAATTATCAAAAAAGTCTTAAACTTTTTGTATTTGTGCCAATTCAATCACAAACCTTTCGATTTGGCCAATTTAATCCTAAATCTTTTGATAATTTGCTAACGTAGTCCATCCAACCAATTTTAACAGGAAATTATTAAAGTGAACACCAGTTGTCCTACGTGGCACACCAAGCATTAATGTGGACAATTTTTTCAAATTTAAAATTTAAAATTTTTATATATATATTTTTTCTTTTCTTCTCTTTTCCTTCTTTTCTTTTTTTTCCTTTTACCGCGGCCGGCGAGGGCCATGGGCGAGGCCAGCCTCACCGACCATGGGCGAAGGCGACCTCCCCCACGAGTGGCAAGGCCTTGCCCAAATCTGGGGGAGGCCAGGTGAGGGGCCGGTGAGCTTCGACAGTGAAAAAAAATAAAAGATGAGAAGGAATAGAGAAGCAAAGAAAAAAAAAAGAAAATTAAATAAAAAAATTCAAAAAAATTGTCCATATCAGCATTGATTCTGCCATGTAAGATCAGCTGGCGTTCACATCGGTGATTTCAGGCTAAAATTGACTAGATGGACTAGATTAGCAAAATGTCAAAAATTTTACGATTAAATTGGCAAAATGGAAAAAGTTTAGGACGGAATTGGCACAAATATAATAGGTTTATGACTTTCTTGATAATTTTCCCAACAAAGTTTAAGACCTTATGGCAAAACCTTGAGGAATTCTAGGTATAACTGTAAGATACATGCATTCCTTTAACACCCGGTGCCCATATGTAATTAGTTTTTTGGCATGGTGGTCAAGGGGTGTGTGGGGCAGGTTTAGTGCACTTTGACTCAGCCAACTATCCTGGCGATTTTAAGGCGTGCTCGTCACGTTGGCTCGATGCATTCGGAATTTTACTTTGCTCCAAACATAGCTCGAGGACAAAACCATAAAGATATAAACAAACTCCCTTCGCATTTATTATCGGAAATGAAGATCTGGAATGATTGATATCATTCAAGGCTATAAAAATACTTGAAAAACCTTTTAGCTTTTAAATCGAGAACGACTTATAATACAGTGCAACACTCAGTCTATTAAATAAAAAAAAAGCTACATGGTTTTAGATTATATAAATTAATATTGTTCACCAACAAGCATGCGGCTTGCTGGTAAAGGAATTGGGGTTGGGGTCGAAGAGTACTAGGTCGAAGGTTCGATCGGGTCCACTGTAACTTTAGTTCGTGGTGGGTTATTAACGGCTGTGATTTGTTTGAATCCATGGACTCGAGTCGAGAGGAAAACGTTCTCGCATTCTCACTCGCTCGCCCATGGTCAAAGGTCAACCCGGTCCCCGGAACAGACACGTGGCAACTCAGGAACGAAGTCTCTAGAACTACCCAGCCCTCCTCGCCAGCTCCCCCCTTAAACCCTAAACCCTCCTTCTATATATCAACCGCCTACGCCGCTCGCCTCCGCCGCTTTTGATCGAGTTCACTCGCCATCGCTCCGCTCCCCTTCCATCGAGGCTCTTCCGCTCCACGGCTCCGAAAATGGCGGCTCCGGTGGCCCGATCTCTCCTCATCAACCGCGATGCCTCGCTCCGCTTCATCCGCGCTTCGCTGCTCCGCCGATCAAACGCCGCCACGGTCAAGGACCAGAGCTTGCTTGCCCCAAGCGGCGGCGGCGGCGGCATCGTCCTCGGCCGATGCCAATTCCAGAACCCGTCCTGTGCCCATTTGAATCGGCAGGTCGCGGTGTCGGCTCCTCATTTGCTCGGCCGATCGTCGCTGCTCGTCGGCGGTGAAGATCGGAGGGGTTCGAGGAGGGAGTACCGTCTCGCGGCCGAGGACGAGCTCGAGATGCGTCGGCGCAAGGAGGTTTCGGACGAGGAGGACGATTCCGGCATGGAGGATGGGGGTTTTGATAGCGACGATGCTGGCCGTTGGGGGGATTTCGACAAAGCGGATTTTGACGACGCCGACGACGACGACGACGACGACGACGAAGACGATGCCCATGTTGATGCACCTCGCAAGAGGAGAAAATGAGATTCGAAATATATTTTATCAATCACGTTCGCTTTTGGTCGTTTCTCGCGTTTAATAAGATTTTCCCGTTTCTTAACGAAGTCCATATGGTAGGTGCAGTACTCTGTTTCTCTCTGTTTCTTGTTACGTCAGTGTCGTGTTCTGTCATACACGATTCATGAGTTTTAGTGGACTACTTTCAATTTCCGGTACCTCGTATTTTGATCGTGTAGATTTTTTTTAACTTAGAATTCAAATCCAAACGTTCAGAATCCAGTAGATGGACCGAGCGGGCGATCGCGCGAGCGCGTTGTACGTTCAAGCGCATCGAGCTTTCGACTATTTCCGTCAAATTTAACTACTTTCAACCAGGGATCAATGCAGGAAGCGCGAAACATTTGTTTACACGGAGGAAAGACCTGACAAAGTTCACCTCCCACGAAATCATCCGCGCAAATGGCGCTGTTTGCAGATTTCGACCCGATCTCTAGAGACTGTGTAACTCGCAGAAGGAACCGACTTTTTGTAGGGCTTGTTTCCTTTTCTTCTTCCTGTTCTTCTCTTGTGTGCCTTCCCCTGCCCGTCCCCGCGTCTTCATCCAACGGAGATTGTCCCTTGGACGGGGCGTGGTCGAACCCGCCTCTCTCGGGTCCCGGTTGTCCGCCGTGTCGAGGAAGGGGAAGAAAACGTACTAGGGGACGACAAACATGATGAGGATGACAAGTGTTGGAAAATCTCCTAGAAAAGATGAAAACAAGAACAAATATTTGAGTCATGGCGTGCAAACACTGTTCTCGAGAATAATTCCGCTCTTTGAAGTAAGAAATTCAGTGCGATAGGCTCTAACTTTTCCGGTGTGGGCGAGGCCAGCCTTGCCCAAATTTGAGGGAGGTTGGGCAAGGGCCGCGCGAAAAAGAAAAAAATTTAAAATATTATTAAAAATCTTTCCACGTTAGAGCCGGCTATGCCACGCAGGATGTCCACGTCAATAATTTCTGGTCAAAATTGGCCGCATGTGCAAAACGTGAAAAAATTTAAGACTCAATTGACACAATTAAAAGGCTTAAGATCGAATCGGCAAAAGTGCAATATGTGTAAGACTTTTTGGACAATTTTCCTACATGATCGCACTGGTATTTCACTCCAAATATAGGAGATATGGCTCATCTGCATTTGGATGCGATTCTGGATTGTTTCATTTATCTTCGCAATGTCATTGTTAGGTGAAAACTTCAATCAAAAGCTAAAGCTGTGTTGCCTCCTATTTACTTAAGTCATTAGCGACAGTTTCGTTAGCAGACAATCTGCTCTGTTGGCTTGAGCATCTAATTGGACCCTTAGCTTGAACATCTATGGCTGCCCGAAAATGTATACTCTGAAGTCCAAAGAAATGTAAAGCGGGCACATTTTGTTTCCCAAGGAGGTATGCAAGGGGGGGACATCAACCAATACCACACTGAGATCTCTGAATCTTGGCAAGAATGAAATGTAAACTGGAAATGGAAAATATCGTCGATATTCCAAATCGGCCGCCCCTCTCCTTCTTGATCGTGCCATGGTGAGCGAAATTTTCACGTACCCCAACCTAGCAGGACCCAAAAAATCGGTTTCATTGTGTTTCTGAGCTGAAAGACACTGGTTTCAGGAGCCAATTTAATCCTGTGCTTCCTTCTTGTTGATTCTATGGATCCTGGAAGGCTAACCTTCGGAATTCTTCACAAATAAAACCACGAGAAATTACTTCCCGTGTAATGGCGGAGCGTCCTGCTCGGATACGAGCCAAGCGCTCAAAACGAGTATTAAGCTGTAACCCCTCGAGTTTATGACCTGAATAACATGACAAGCCGTGTCCCTTCCAACGTGAGACTTCGGGGGTTATGATTATGGCAGTAGATTTCTTTACATAGTCTGGTCTGGTTAATGGACAGGGCAGAAACAGAGACGGGGATGATGTGGACCTTGGAGCGGAGCAAAAGTCACAAAACTGAGAGCCTGAGACGGGTCAAGACCAAGACTTTTAGCCGGAAGACACGAGCGTGGGAATAGCAAATGCCCCTATCTGAAGAAAAGTATCCATCTCGGGAAGACCAACCGAAACATACGAGACAACCCATTTTCGTTTCTTTTAAAAAACACTTCGCCTAGGGCCTGCGGAAGCTCGCAGGAGACGAACGGAACTCATCAACTGGTGGTGTCAATGGCTTGCGTGTGTTGAAGGGAAAAACAAGAAAACCGCAGGTCAGTAGTCAAGAAGCAGATCTCCCCTCGTGCCCCAAAATGATTTGATATGACGAGCCCCGATCAGCAAAATGTTCATGGCGATTCTCAAAAGCAATAACAACTACATACAAACAGATCATATCATTGCCAACTATTACTGCTTGCTTCGTACTTGAGTATCTATCGAGGATCTGAGACACCCTTTCGTGGAAACTCATCAATGGCACGATTCGGACATTCGAGCAGGCACCTATTCTCAGGAGCTGTTCCCTTTTCAGAGGATTGTTGTTCAAGAACGTGCAACATAATTATCCATGAAAGGAAAATGCTAATTTCTAAAGCAAAGATACGAAAAGTAAACCAAAAAACAAAAACGCGAATTGAGTTTCATCTACATGCATATTGCATTCCCCTCTCATATTGACAGCAGATATCGCGTATCGCAGGCGAGCATAACAATCAAAAAGCCTGTGGATCACGAGAAAATTACAAAATTCCTGCTTTCCACTAATCGAATTCGATTGGGCAATTGGCGTAAATTTTCAAGAATCAATACCGACAAGGAGAAGCGAGTCAAAATTTGTCTACGACCTGGTCGGTTCCGTGACCAGTTGAACCACCGTCTGGAACAGAAGAACGGACAGCGAGTCGAGAGAAAAGTAGAGGAAGCCGCCTGGGGAGTGAGTCACGAACGATCCGAAACTCTTCCCCACCACGCAGTGCCACGCCGGCCCGTACACCGAGTCAAACTCCTGCAAATATCGCGAAATTCAAAACAAAAAAGAAGACGACGAACTAATCGAAGAAACGATACAGATGTATCAGACAAGCCCATGAAACGATGAAATTCCTGTCGGAGTCCGTCATCAAGGAGTGGCGCAAGGCCTCCTTCTCTTCGCTCGAAATCGCGTCTTTTAACATGGGCACGAAAGCCTCGTCCTTTTCGCTCAAAAATCACGTCTTTTTTTTGACGCACCTTCTTGAGAGCGCGAGCCAAGTGGGTGTTGTTGGGACGGAGGCCGGGGGACGAGTCGAGGAAGGATCGGGTGCAGCGAAGGGCGTGCTCTTGCATGTGGACGGGCATGTCCGACGACCTCAGCCTCATGTTGAAGCTGACCGCGGTCGCAGCCAGCCGCAGCACTTCTTCTTTCGGGGACTTGTCGGGTCTCTCCACCTTGTCCCGTTGATGAATTTGATCGTTCCGAATGACTTGCTTCTCTTTTCCGCTCAGGCAGCCTTGCTTCTTCTCCATGTTTTTAGACAGAGAGAGAGAGAGAGAGAGAGTTGGTGTGAAGTTTTTGGAACTTTGACCGGGAAATGGGTTTGACAGAATGAGAACATATCGTGGTATCACAACCACCCACTCCACAGGGACTAGGAGCAAATAGAGAGAGAGAGAGAGGGAGAGAGAGAGAAACCAATAGCTTTGGTTTTAAAAAAATACGGTAAACATCGACGGGTCGAGTGTTTCTGTAACGAGTCGTTCCAAGGTTCAGACAGCGACGCGTTGGAACGCCAATTGGGAGGAGGAGGAGGAGGAGGAGGAGGAGGAGTGATTGGTTTGATGGAAGACTTCGTTAAGGGAGGACAAATATGGTGACACACGAGGGAAGCATGCAGAGATTATGCTGCGATTCTCGTTGACTTTGTCTAATCTCATATCTTTTTCCCGTCCATAATCACCCAACATTTTTTTCCGTTTAATTGAAAGAAAACCATTTTCGAGAAAACATTTTTTGACTTTTTGATATTTTGATGACAGAATACTAATCGATATACGAAAAACGTTTTTCATGAATTTGAAAACGACAAGCTTAAATACGACTTCTCCTTCTAATAATAAGAAAATGGCTTACCCTGAGTCACCAAACAAATAAAAGCTAATTTCTTTAAAAATAATTTTCATGGAAAATAATTTTCTTTATCATAAAGTTTTTAGTGAAACAAACGTATCTTTAAAGTTTGTTTGTTTCGCGAAAAATGAATAATTTAAAAAAATATCTTCCTAAAAAGGATCGTTGGTATATTTTATTATAATGTTTTTCGAGTTATTTATTTTTCGCGAAACAAACGGAACCTTAGTATTAGTCATTTTGTGTTGAGTACTATATTTGGGGAGTGAGAGAATTTGGGTGAGAAAATTAGGTAAAATCTTGAACTTTTGTGCCAAGGTAGAGGAGGGACAAAAGTTAAAATTTTCGGCAATTCTGTTCTCAATTCTGGTCACCCTCTTACTCCCAAACAGTGCCCGAAAGATCAACACTTCATTTTTACCATTTTTTCCCGACAAAATAAATTTATTTGCTATAGTTGTTGTATTCCTCAATTCACATAAAAAAAACTGGTAAGGGTATTTTCGAGAAAAGGAGAAAGATTTTACTAGCAACAATTTCAGCATAGAAATGAAAAAAAAAACATAAATCTTCTTTACACTAATAAATAAGAAATTTGATCCATGTCAAAATTTAGGAAATTTCCCCGGACCGCCTAAAAGTATATAGGAAAGTCATTAGGATTTAAAATAGGGAAAAAAAAAGTTTTTTCATGTATTTGAAAATGACAAGCTTAGATCGAAAAAAAAACGACTTCTTCTTCTAATAATAAGAAAATGACTTACCCTGAATCACCAAACAAATAAAAGCTAATTTCTTTGAAAATAATTTTCATTGAAAATATTTTTCTTTATCATAAAGTTTTCAGTGAAACAAACGTGCCTTTAAAGTATGTTTGTTTCGCGAAAATGAATAATTTAGAAAATATCTTTCTAAAAAGGATCATTGGTATATTTTATTATAATATTTTTCAAGTTATTCATTTTTCGCTGAAACAAACCTAACCTTAGTATTAGTCATTTTGTGTTTAGTGCTATATTTGGGGAGTGAGAGAATTTGGGTGAGAAAATTAGGTAAAATCTTGAACTTTAAGGTAGAGGAGGGACAAAAGTTAAAATTTTTGGCAATTCTCTTCTCAATTCTGGTCACCCTCTTACTCCCAAACAGTGCCCGAAAGATCAACACTTCAGTTTTACCATTTTTTCCCGACAAAATAAATATATTTGCTAAAAGTTGTTGTATTCCTCAATTCACATAAACAAAAAACTGGTAAGGCTATTTTCGAGGAAAGGAGAAAGATTTTACTAGCAACAATTTCAGCATAGAAATGAAAAAAAAAACATATATCTTCTTTACACTAATAAATAAGAAATTTGATCCATGTCAAAATTTAGGAAATTTCCCCGGACCGCCTAAAAGTATATAGGAAAGTCATTAAGATTTAAAATATTTTACGATTTTATAATTTCAAAACTAGATCTCAATCGTGTGGAAATACTGAATCGATAGAACCATAGAAATTATGAAATCGTTGCCATCTTTTCATTTTTCCAAGACTATGGTGGATTTAGTGCAAAAAGGGAGAATACTCGACCCAAATGGAGTAAGAAAATGATATGGTTGGGAACGGATAACGAAGTGGGTGAAACAATGAAAATAGTAAGTTTTGTGGGCTTTGTTTGTTTCGTGAAAAATTCGATATTTTTGGAAAATATTTTTTGAGAAATCATTTTCCAAGAAAATGACAATATTCTTCGGTATTTGGCTGAGACCTGAAAATGAATTGAAAAATATTTTTCCGTCATTTGGTAAGAAAGATCTCATTTGATCTTCTTAAATAGACATACACTATTCGTATGCTAGTGATTTGTGTATGGGTAACCAAAGAACCCGGCACAGGTATCGGGGTCTCAAGCACAGATTCTCAACTCCCGGACATGAGCACGGGTACTGATCTTGGGCCTGTTGAAACCGAGCCTAAGAACTTGGTGTCTGTGCTTAGCTTCCTTCCTAGCGTTGCGGCCCAAGTCCACGGAGGGTGGGCCTAGGTCCCCAGTGCTCGAGCTTGGGTCCATTGAGGCTGAGCCTTGGACCCAGTGCCCGCAATTGGGATCCTGGCGCTAGGGCCTAGGTCAATTGAGGTCGGGCCACAAACCCAGTGTTCGAGACTTGGTCCCCTACGCCCGGACTTGGGTCCATTGAGGTCGGGGCTAGGACCTTGGTGCCCTTGCTCAAGTCCATCGAGGCTAGGATCCGGTTCTTGGCACCCAAGCTCAAATCCATCGAGGCTGGGCCACAGTCCCCAGCACTCGAGCCCGGATCGGATGAGGCTGCGCCCTGGTTCTCAACGCCTATGCCCATTGAGGTTGGGCCCGGGACCCCGACGCTTGGGATAATGTCTCTAGCACTCGTACCCAGATCCATTAAGGCCCAGCCAGGATTCGTCAAGGCTGGGCTTGGGTCCCTAGTGTTCGAGCCTAGGTCCTCAACAAACAAGTCTAGATACGGATGTTAGAATCCCAAGCCTGGCTACTATGGACTTGGACTTGGGCTTGGGCTTGGGCTTGGGCTTGGGCGCTGTCGAGGTCCCCCAAGCACCGAGGACCCAAGCTTGGCCTCAATGGACATGGAGCCCGGGCATAGGCATCAGGGTCTTAGATCCGGCCTCGATGGACTTGAACGCGGGCATTGGGACCTGGGCATGGTTGTCGAGGTCCCAACCACAGCCTTAATGGACTTAGGTTGGTCGTAGAGGACTTGGACGCGGGCATCGAGGTTCAAGCCCGGCCTCGATGGATCTGGGTGCGGGCACCTAGGTATATGGCCCAACCTTGTTAGATACGAGCCCCGACTCGATGTTACCGACCGGTGTCTCGGGCCCAGGCACTGGGTACTTGGCCCTGCTGCTAAGGGCCTAAAAACGAGCATTGGTTTCTCGTACCAAAGCATAGAGTTTCTGGTCCAAGTGTTTATATCTAGTCATATTTTGTAAAATGATTTCTAATTTTTTAAAGAGCAAAACATTTTCTTAAAATTTAAGGTTTGGTAGTAAAACATTTTCTGTTCATTTTCCGTTAATCGCTGATTTTTCCAATGTCCAAAATGACTTGTCCGAAATGACAAAATTGACCCTCATCCACTGCCGATCTCATCATCCACTCCGACGCTACCCTCCAAACAAACACCAGCCAAACACCTCCGCCCCTCTCTCTCTCTCTCTAGAAAAAAAAATCTCTCCAGCCTCTCCCCTTCTTCTTCTTCGTGTTCTTCGCAGTGACATCTCTTCGCTTCGCTGCTCACGCCCTTCCAGTCCCCCCCGTCTCCCCATGGCCACCGTGCTCGAGTCCCTCGCCGTGCCCCGCTCCTCCGGCGTGCCTTCTCCCGCCTCTTTCTCTCCGGTCGCCTCCGCCTCCTCCCTCGCCCCCGCCGCCGGTCGCCGGAGGTCGGCCCGGTTCCCGCAGGCTAGCGGGTTGAGGATCAGGCCGGTTTCGATCGCTCGGTCGCTGAGATCTCCGAGCCAGGGCCCGAGGCGTGCTCCATCCGTTGTCTGCGAGGCTCAGGATACTGCCGTTCAAGGTTGGATTCCTGAAGCTCACGCCTTTTTTAGTTTTTTAACGCTAACATCAATATTTCTCTGATTTTTCTCTCGTTTGTGGAGTTACCTGAACTTTTTTTTTGTCGGATTCATTCGTCGTCGGTGTATTCGTAGATATAGTTCGATTTGATTGCTTGGCGAGTTAGCGTCTGACGTCCTAGTTCAATGATGCGGAACCGAAGGCCGACGATTGGGTCGCACTGAGTTACTGAAATCGTGGGCGAACTATCTTGTGCTATGAAAGATTACAGGAAATAATTTTGTTGGCGTAAAAGTTGTCGCCAAGTTCTCTGTTGATGTGTAGCGGAGCTCTTTGCTAGACCTGCCTTTAGTAATGTTTACGCCGGAAAAAGGATGCCTTAGCTGTGTACTTGAGGCCGACGAGCCTAATTGTTATTGTTTGCTTATAAGAAGGCTCCAATTCTCAACTTTCTACCAAATGAGTGACGTTATGCAAAAGAAATTGCACAAGAAAAGTTGGTTTATCTTGGATACAGTCCTCTCTTGTTAGAGGAATGGAAATTGTGGCGTCGCAATATAGATATATATCATCATAAAATTGTGTCCTCTCGCTAATCTACGTCATTAATGAGCTTGTGATAGGGTTTTAAGGAAATGAAAATTCTTGAACTGTATGTCAATTTCAATAAAGTTTCGGGACTTGTCATGTTATCATGTTGTGGACTTATCATGTCGTTTGGTTGCTCAAGGTGGTCTAGAAGAGCTTTGCATTAGATTAATGGTAACAAGCTTTATTATAAGCAGTCATTGGCTTTGAGATTAGTTTGTCTACTGATAACGCAGCTTAAAATCTTAGGGCAATCCTTGCCAACAAACTCATTCATAACCAGCATTCACTAAACAAGAACTCATCGAATGGTTTAGCTTGAGCTTGGCATAAACACATTGCAAATCTCTATAGTGCTGGATTATAGGTACAACTTGACTAGAAAGCGCTTCATGGGCACATTCTGAAAATGGAAAAAATTGCAACCATAACTTGGGATCTGTCATACACTGATGCAACCATTATTTGGGTTCTCTTATATACTGTTAATGTGCCAAGTATATGCACATGTTGGCTGTAGAAAACAAGAAATCCTGGTTTTATAGGCAAATTTCGAAAGGTTAAGGCCATATCTTCCTTTCTGGATCGGCATTTTGTTATGGATTAGAGGAATTGAGATGGTCACCACTCTAAAACCGAAAAAGCGATGCAGAAAAAGATATATTCAAGCATTAACAGTCATTTCTTGTTTTTGATGTAGTGGCTGCTGTGACTGATGCGACCTGGCAATCACTTGTCTTGGAGTCTGAATTTCCGGTACTGGTTGAGTTTTGGGCTCCATGGTGTGGTCCCTGCAGAATGATCCACCCTGTCATTGATGAATTGGCAAAGCAGTATGCAGGGAAATTGAAGTGCTACAAAGTTAACACTGATGAGAGCCCTTCAATTGCCACTCGATATGGCATCCGAAGCATACCGACTGTCATGATATTTAAGAGTGGTGAGAAGAAAGATGCTGTTATTGGTGCCGTTCCCAAGTCCACATTGACCACTAGCATTGAGAAATTCTTGTAAAGGTAGTAAGCATGAGGTGCTCCTGCAGCAATAAAGTTAAGCATAACTTTTGTCAAATCTGCCTTTTCTTTGTCTGATGGCTGCTTTGTTCGACTTCTGTATAGTGAAGTGGGACTGTATTATCTACTTGCTTAATGTCAATATCAGCTGTATAACATCATCAGGTGAATTTGGTATCCATCTCTTCCGTTGCTCATACGTGTGCATTACCTTTATGTGTGCAATTTGGTGCCGAATGCACGTCTGAGCTTCAGTGTTAGGAAATCTTACCTGTTTTAAGAGTGGTAGAGTCTTGATTCTTGAGCTGGTAACCACAATCTCCATATTCAGCAGAACAGTCTTTAGGAGTTTAGTACATATTCTGAGGATGGTCTTCCTGTTCGCATCACGGTAGTTCTGGATCTACTGGAGGAAGTTCTGATGTGTCTACACGAGATTATTCCTTTGCCTGTGGGTTTTTGAGAGTTCTAGCAGACTGGTTTTGTGATAATCACCTCGGATGTTAGATTATATATTCTGTATTTTAAACATGGAGGAACCTTGCTGCTTGAGCGGGTTATTCTTTGGATCATAGGTCTCTGGACTTCAGTTGGTTTAATGCCTGAATGGGATGCATGACTCAGCTTTTCTTAATTATCATCATTTCTGCATCTTTTCTAATGGCAGATAACTCCATTTTCGGGGCTAACTTTGCATTCTTCAAGTTTTCAGCCATTTGACGCAAGAATATTTATTTGACATTTTCTTTTGATGAGGAGGGTAGAATTAACAGAAGCTCCGGAATGGGATGTAAACCAATGCAGTTATTTTGAATCTTCAGCCGGAGAAATTGCGAAAGATTTGAGTGCTTAAAATGCATCGTTCTGTAGCATGGTCAAGAGAGGTTTCTTCTTTACGAATTAATAGCAATCTCATTGCTTGCTTCTACTGTGATTTTGAGTGATATCATTTTAGTTTATTCTATGTTTGGCGGATGATATGGTAACGTGGGTTGGAACTTGGAATTAGCTGCACAGAGAGCAAATGTTGTCGATAGGTGTGGTAAAATGCGGTTGTCCTAATGAACATCTCAAAGGACAAGTAGACAAACATCAATGGTACAAAACATGAAAAAGGCGGCACAATTTATAGTCAGGATTAGTGAAACGTTGGATGTACCAGGGTAGGAATTGACAGATGAAGAGTAACTCAGGATTCAGTTTCATCTTACTCATTTGCTTTTCGGCACTACTTGACGGTTTTAGTTGAGAAAATTATCAAAATTACGCTGATGTTGAAGCAGTTTGCGTCAGTCAAAAGTAAACCTCTAAATCTGTCTACACGCTTCACCCTCCGAAACACCACCTGCTACCGAGTACACCAGCTTCAAAGGCACAAATCGCACCTCTAAACCTGTCTACACGCTTCACCCTCCGAAACAACACCCGCTACCGAGTACACCACCTTCAAAGGCACAAATCGCACGTAGGAGTCCCGACAAAGAGAGCTTCCTTTTTCATCTAAAAGAAAGTTCAGTAAACCGTCCTAGCGATGAAGTCTTAAATCACTCTTCGCTCGATGGCAGAGCTTCCATTTTGTAGCTCCTCTGCAGATGGTGAAGACGCTCTTGACCAAAACCTTTCACACCTACTCTCACAAATCCAAAGATATCATTGTCTCACATTGTGACCACGTTAGGAATTCTAATCCAACTTGAAAATTGATTGAGTAGGATTTTTAACAGAGTAGAACTTATCTAACCAGATTCCTTCGATCCCAGATGATATCTTGATTCATCAGTATGAAACATATTTATTCAGAACATGTTCAGGATCTAACGCCGATATTGTGTGATAATATCAACTAAAAAGTTGACAGATATTCCTTTATCTGGCTTTTGTACCGCTGTTGCTTTAGAGTCATCAACTTAAAGCGAAGCATGAAGAAATGCAGCTATTCCGAGCTAATGGAGCTCGAATTCAATACAAATGAACAAGGAAAAAGAGGAAGCTCTAGACGACGTGATGCCATAGCCAAAAGAACACATAGTTGTACAAAGCATGACTGACTCCAACTCCCACTTCTCAATGTCACAGCTGCAAAGCAACAATCTGTAATGTCACTCATTCAATCAAATATTCTTGTTTACTGTGATTTGAATACATCCTGAAAATGATCTATCTATTGAACAAGTGACACAACGTGTACATATACCATGGGGCATAAATGTTGGATGTAATACTTTCTCCCTGCCAACTGACTGCAAACATCCTGGAGTCCTCTAGAAGTGGAAAAGGAAAGCATAAAATATGAATAGCAGAGCCTAGCAAACCGGACTCCAGTATGTGGCTTCGGTAGGTGGTGGAGAAACAATATGGCTGAGCAACCAAGGTCTCATCAGTAAGCCCAGTACTGGACATAAGGCTTAAGGAGGGACTTGTCCCTGATATGGTCCCACTCCACCTGTTTCCACCATCCCATGTCATTGTACTTAATCTCTATCCGTTGGAGAGTATGAGAGCCAGCGGAAGAGTGATAAGAAGAAGGTGGTTCCGCCTCCTGAGGGAGGCATACACGCAGCGGTATCCTTTTCAGCTTGCAACACCCTTTGAGTGTTATGTACTCAAGAGAATCACAAATTATTGTGCTGCTACATATGCTTTCCAGCGCGTGTAAATCCCTTAACACTAAAGTCCTTAACTTTGGGAGAGCTAAAGCAGACGTTGTTTCGTCTCCTGTCACTTTTATGAGCACCTCGACTTCGTTGCAGCATTGGATAGAAAGCACCTCCAAGTTTGCGAGGAGGGGCAGCAGCGTGTGCGTCATCAGCTTCTTCATTTTGCAGCATTTACTGATTTCGAGCTTTTTCAGACCCCAGAAGGTATTACCTTTGGATAGCACCCGCAGGAATGCACTCGCAGCGGCAAAGTTCTCTTCTACCTCCACTAGGACGCGGAGGTCCTTAAGTGAATCTAGTCTTAGAAACTCAAGGCTTCGAAGATGGGTGTATCTGTGTGAGAGGAAATCCATGGACAGCGGAACCACACACTCCATGGATTTAACTTTCCCAATCATGCAGGCCTTCATGTTGGTTACCTGGTGAAATGATGGGATGTTCATTAGGCTTCTCAGGCCATCCTCCACAAACCTTTCAATTATCAGCAATTCAACTTCTCTTGGGAGCAGAAGCCGCTCTTCCCATTGCCATCCTTGAGCGATGCAACTTAATCTCACGATTTTGTTATAATCTTCCATGAGCCTCATCATAATCAACACATCCCAGTCTCAAGTCCCACTTCTTTGGACCTTTTCCATCATTCAGATATGCTGTGTACAGATTAAATTCATTTTCATCAGTGAAATTGCATTTTAAATCTTCCAAGTTCCTCATACTCATTATCTCCCTTCCTTCTGCATATAATTTACTGCCAAGGTTGAGGTATTGCAGATGAGCAAGTTTCGGCAGAACTCCAAGAGGCAGTTTCCTTAGTTCTGAACCATTCAAATCAAAACTTCTTAGATTTACCAATCTCTCTAACCCTTCAGGTGCATCCCGGATTCCACTTTCACACAGATCTAAAGTTCTTAACTCCTCCATCTTTGCCACAGACGGGACTAATTCTAATTCCCTGCACCCCCGGAGCAACAATGCAATGAGGTTCTTCAAGTTGGATGTTGAACATGGCAGAAACTTGATATTTGTCCAAGATAGATCGAGAACTTGGAGAGCAGGCATGTTTTCCAAAAACGCATTGGGTAATGCCTTCAAGGAAGTGTTATTGCTCAAGCAAAGGAACTTGAGTCTAGGACACTTGGGCGCCATCCCTTCTGGGATTCCCTCAATGAGATTTCCCATTAAGGAAACTACCTCAAGATTCTGTGTCCATTTTTCCTCTTCAGGTATCTCTCTCAAATGCAACCCTGCTTTCACCATATATCTAGATCTCATCATGTTGATTGCCATGTCCCTGAGCAAGTCATGCATCTTCAATTCCTCTGTTTCTTGTCCAGAGATGTTCGTGCGTTTAACACTTTCCAACAAGCAGACGTTAAGTAATTTATTCACCAACGTATGTCCCCTATCGTACTCCACTTCCCGACTTCTGCTGCATATCAATCGGATATCCATGAAGTATCGAATGAGCTCACTTCTTTCAATCATGTAATCCTCAGGATATAATGCCATATGCAGGAAACACCGCTGCGCCATCACATCATTCAGTCGAGTATAGCTAATTCTCAAAACACCAAACACCTTCTCTTCCATGCATTCTTCCGTGAAGTTTGCTTCTTTCAATGCTTCTGATGCATTTCTCCACTCATGGATGTCCTCCGTCCCTCTCATGCTTCCAGAAACCACCACAATTGCAAGAGGCAAACCTCCACATTCCTGTGCGACAGACCTTGCTATATTTTCTACTTCAGGTGGGAAGGCTTTTGTGCGCCCCAGATTCTTCATGAACAAGTGCCAAGCTTCATTCTCGAGGAGAGTCTCTACTTTGACAGAAACTTGGCATTCCATCTGGTTACACACATCCAGCTTCCTGGTTGTCAGGATCAGTTTACACCCGTTCTCGTCTACCGGAAGTCCCAGCTCTTTTAGATCATACGTATTCCACGTATCATCCAAGATGAGGACAAATTTTTTTCCCCTCAGGAAGTTTGATAATCTTCCAGCTCGATTAATCCTATCATCCATATTTGACAGATCAAGATTCAGACATTTTGCAATCTTGTATTGCAGCTCGTCAGGGCTACATTTTTGGGATACGACCACCAAACTGACCTTCTGATCAGTGTTATGCGCCTTCAAAAGCTTATTGTAGATATGTGTTATCAGAGTGGTCTTCCCAACACCTCCCATACCAAAAACTCCAATTCTCCACACGTCATCATTCATCAAGTAAGATAATATCTTTCGCAGATTTTGTCTAAAAGTGTCGCCAACTAATTCCTTTGTCAGCAGTTCATATCCCCTGATATAATTTTGTGCGAGTCCGCCACCAAATTCACCTTGCTTTCTGAGTTCCTTCACCTCTTCGATCAATTGATTCATACGATTTGCCAAGTTGATCGATGAAGTGATTCTTGAGAGAAGTCCCGCATTTGCAACTTCTTGATCTAAGCTTGAGAATTCATCCTTTTTTCTTCGTACATTGCTTAGCCAATTCTCAACTTCTTTCTTTCTTTTTCTTCCAAGAGTTGACTCCGCGTGTTCTACTTCCACAATTATGTCTCCTTCTCTACTAATAAGACTCTCGAGCTGGCTTTTTAGGATTTGCATCTTCCCACCGGTATCACCATAATTGTTGATGCAACCCCAGACGATTTGAAAATTACGACCAAATTCTGCTAGTGCATTGATGTAGTATTGCATCTTATTACCTGAAAAGGACAAGTTTAGCAGTCCGACGTGGAAGAGAAATTCTATCTATGTTTGATTTTAATGCCATTCTATTGTTGCAATCAACACTAAACCTTTTACTAAGCCAAAAAACAACTGATATTGATTGGGATAAAATTCCCATTCTCCTGAAGAGTTAACTTGAAGCTGATGTACATGCTAAACCTCCATTTTATCTGTTCTAGATATGCAATGAGATATTATTTTAACCGCCAAGAGAACATAAAACAAGCCATTGTCTACGTCACTAATGGTGCACCTTATTGGGAAGACATCAATTAGAACAACAGATGAATCGAGTCACAATCAAATTTAATGTGCGGTTTGACACTAAGGAGATCATTTTGGACGAGTCTAATTAACTAAGCACTCAGAAGCCTTTTGAGAGTGAAAAATATTAGTTAAAACCACTTAGCTGGATCATACACAGTGAACAGAAGTCTTAAACTCAAACCAGATTCGTAGAATCGGGATTTCTTTCCTTTGAGCATCATAAAAGGTTGGGACTATAAACGCCATTCGATAGCGGCGTTGGATTCAGTTTGGATTCTGACCCAATTTGAAACTATGGAAAAGATACCAACGGAAAGCAGATCATATCCATACAGTTAAACCTTCCACACAGACTGCAGGTTTATGTTTCGGATTTCTACTGATGTTTCTGGGCTGAGGCACATGAAGGATCACCATCCAAACATGCATTAGTCTCGTGTAGACAAATATTGCTATTCAGTAGGTCTATATTTTCAAGATTCTCTATGACTGGATGATCGGCAGAATGAACTTTTTCTTTTTCAATATGTCAGATATAGGGGAGCCAAACTCAGGCAGGCCTGATTGCATCAAACACTATAAGAACTACCCTCTTCTTTAGCTCAAGGAATCATCACGACTGGACATATTACGTCAAGTAATGAACAAATTCGGATGATGAACTTTTGCACATAGATTCAACAAGTGTACCTCGACTCGGGCTTGCTGATTCCAGAGAAGGAAGGGCCTGTACGCTGTGGAGAAGTGGGCAAAAGCGTCTGTGGAAATAAAGAAAAATGGCATTTTCTTTTCTTTTTGTTTTGACCCCCCCAAATATCTACAGATAAGGAAGTTCCGGGAAATTACATAGACCTGTCTCTCCAGAATTTTTTCTTCGGTTCTTCCCATTCTCTGCTTTCCTTTCCTTTCTTGAATTGACCCCGTGACTCATCAGAAGAGCGTATGTCCTCACTGAATTCTTTCCTTCCTAATCTCTTCTACCTGCAGAGTCTCACAGTGCAAATCCAGAGCCGGTTGCTTTAGTTTTCATGGACAGACATCCAGGCACTTTAGACGGAGGGGTCCAACGGAATTCGCCAATTTTCATACGATATATGCACTCAAGTGAAAATTCCAAATAAAGATTTGAAGTAACCTTATTTTCTTAAATAAGGACATGAAGTGAACCTAATTTTTGAAGTGGCCATTTCAATTTCAAAGGAGGGCTGACCTCATCAGCTGATCAAGTGCATTTTCTTCTTTTAATTTTTTTTTGATTTTTTTCTTACTTTTATCCTTTTTCTGTATTTTTCTTTCCATAAAAAAAGAAAAAAAAAGACTGGTTTTCCTGTTTTTTTTCTTCAGGAGTTTGATACATACTCTGAGGATGGTCTTCCTGTTTGCACCACAGTAGTTCTGCATCTAATGGAGGAAGTTCTGATGTGTCTAAACGAGATTATTCCTATGCTTGTAGGCCTTTTGAGAGTTCTAGCAGACTGGTTTTGTGATAATCACCTCGGATGTTAGATTATAATTTCTTACATAAAATATTTTAAAACATGGAGGGAGCTCGCTTCTCGGGCGGGTTTTTATTCTTTGGATCTTAGGTCTCAGGTCTTCAGTTAGTTTAATGCCTGAATGGGATGCATGACTCATCTTTTCTTAATAACTCATCATTTCTGGATCTTTTCTAATGGCAGATAACTCCATTTTCGGGACTACCTTTGCCCTCTTTAAGTTTTCAACCATTTGACGCCTCAGTCGTCGAGAATCTTAATATTTGATATTTCTTTTCGTTGAGGAGGGTACGATAAACCAAAACGCCGAAATGGGATTTAAAATTATGCAGTTATTTTGAATCTTTAGTCAGAGAAATTGCAAAAGATTGAGTGCTTAAAATACATCGTTCTGTAGAATGGTCAATAGAGATTTCTTCTTTACGAAGTAACAGCGATCTCTCATTGCTTGCTTCTACTGTGATTTTGAGTAATTTTATTTTATTTTCATTCTATGTTTGGCAGATGATATTGAGAGGTAGCGTGGGTTGGAACTTGGAATTAGGAGCATAGAGAGCAACTATTGTCGATAGCGTTTTCCGTTAGTAAATTTGACGGTATTAACTTGATAAATTTTAGGACTTGATTATACTTTTTACAAGTTTTAGGACTCAATTACACTTTCGTGATAAGCTTTAAAATTTTTAGTGAAATATATATATATTCTTTTAGGAGTTTAGTACATACATACTTTGAGGATGGTTTTCCTGTTCGCACCACAGTAGTTCTGGATCTACCAGAGGAAGTTCTGATGTGTCTACACGAGATTATTCCAGTGCCTGTGGGCCTTTTGAGAGTTCTAGCAGACTGGTTTTGTGATAATCACCTCGGATGTTAGATTATAATTTCTTACAGAAAATATTTTAAAACATGGAGGGACCTCGCTTCTTGGGCGGGTTTTTATTCTTTGGATCATAGGTCTCATGTCTTCAGTTGGTTTAATGCCTGAATGGGATGCATGACTCAGCTTTTCTTAATAACTCATCATTTCTGCATCTTTTCTAATGGCAGATCACTCCACTTTCGGGGCTAACTTTGCCTTCTTCAAGTTTTCAACCATTTGACGTGTCAGTCGTCAAGAATCTTAATATTTGACATTTTTTTTCGTTGAGGAGGGTACAATAAACCAAAACGCCGCAATGGGATGTAAAATTATGCAGTTATTTTGAATCTTTAGTCAGAGAAATTGGAAAAGATTGAGTGCTTAAAATGCATCCTTTTGTTGCATGATCAAGAGAGATTTCTTCTTTATGAAGTAACAGCAACCTCTCATTGCTTGCTCCTACTGTGATTTTGAGTAATTTTATTTTATTTTCATTCTACGTTTGGCGGATGATATTGAGAGGTAACGTGAGTTGGAACTTGGAATTAGCCGCATAGAGAGCAACTATTGTCGATAGGGGTGGTAAAATGCGGTTGTCCTAATGAACATCTCAAGGTACAAGGAGACGAAGCATTATGGAAGACAAGTCTCTGCATGGGGATGGCTTTAGTCCAGTTTTAAATTGCCGTTCTCATTTATTTTCTCCGAAACCTCTCTCACCAGAATAGAAGCTCTTGCACGAGCTTAACAACTATTGATCACGTATGAGATCCTTTTTGAGTGCGTAACATTCTTGTGGAACCCAAGTCCTGATAGAACCAGTCAGATCGACAGGCCACTTACGTTAGGAAACCCCAGAAACTCGAATTTCAAAGAAAGCTGAGAATTTGGGAGACATTGGCGACAAGCTAATGCCTTCGAATCATGTTACCTCTCAATTTCATGCATGTCGCGGCATTGTACCACGAGGCCCACAGAATTGAGAGGAGGAGATGAGGTTGATAAGAAACTTCAAGATGTTACAATGCGGAGCCGAATTTTCTCAAAGTTTTCTGTCCATTCTTTCTGCTTTGATATCGTCCATTCCAACCTGCTTTAGAGACTGCAACCTAGAATTTACAATCCAAAATGACATGAGAAAGGCAGCTAAGTTTATGGTCAGAATTAGCGAAACATTCGAGGTACTAGGATGGGAATTGACAATTGAACAGTAATTCAGGATTTCAATTTCATTTTACTCATTTGCTTCTTGGCACGACGTCACGACTTTAGCATTGAGATATGGTTCATACTCTCAATTGACAAGAAGGCACGAGGGTCCCGTTCTATTCTTTTGGTAGTTTGGGCTTGTACGTAAGATAACTAGCGTCTACGTCAGTGATTTCCGGTCAAAATTGGCCAGATGAACTCAATTGCCAAAACGTAAAAAAGTTTAAAACTCAATTGGCAAAATTAAAAAATTTATGACTAAATTGGCAATATTACAATAGAAGAGATTTAATAGCTTAAGCGAGGACATAAATTATGGCACGGTAAAGTAATTGGTACATAACCTAGTCCATTAGGTTAGTGACCCATTTTTTTGGCAAAAAAAAAAACGTTATTCGTGAACTTTTGAGAAAGATCAAAGTGAGGAATCACTTTGATTAATATATACAAATACGGACAAGATATATATATATATATATATATATATATATGACTAGCGTATCATATGTGCCATACACAAGTTTGGACATTATCACATCCCTTGGATCATGCGTGTCCTACATGATCCGCACAATTTAACAATCCAACAGTTGCAGTGAAGTGCGTGCATAATGTACCCACATCACCGAAGAAAAACACAATTCTGTCACTACTAGAGGTATTTAACATACGGGTCAAGAAAGGACTTGGAAAGGGAATCGTTCCACACCACCGATTTCCACCATTCGTCCTCATCTCTTCGAATCTCAATCGCTTGTAGACAATCGGAATGAGGTTCCCCATCTCGAGGGAGTTGCACAAGGAGGGATATGCATTCTAGCTTCGGACATGCCCATAGGGATATTCTTCGGAGAGAATGACAGCTTATCGCCGCCCCACATATCCTTTTTAGTGCAGGAAGATTACGTAACTTTAAAGTCTTCAACTTAGGGAGGGATAGAGCGGAAGCGAGATGAACATGATTGGCTTCACTCCTCGTATAGCTCCCTCTGGTGTCCCCCTCTTCCTGACACTCCTTATCTACTTCCGTCATTGCTATGACCTCCTCCATTTGATCACAATAACCGATAGAAAGCCTCTCCAGGTTTGCAAGGAGAGGTAGCAACACAAGCGTCAGGAGCCTCTTCATTTTCTTACAACTAATGATATCGAGTTCCTTGAGACCCCAAAACTTGTCACCTTCATATAGCACTCCTGGGACTGCAGTCGCAACAGCACAGGGTTCTTCCTCAGCTAGCGCACGTAGATCCATAATGGATGTAAGTTTGAGAGACTCTATGCTTGGAAGAGGAGAAGATGAGGATTGTGACACCACATACTTCATGCCGTGTATCCTCCTCAGTGTGCACATCCTCAGCTTTGAGTTTGTTATGATTGGAATGTCCGTCAAGCTCTTAGGCTCATCAACTGCATTTGTGATCACCAAGAGCTGAACATCTTTTGGGAGCAGAGGGGGGGATTTAAGTCCATCTCCTCCGACATGACACCCATGCAGCCTCACTGTTCTAATGGGAACATCCCCAAAGTGGTGATTACTATTCCAAGTACCTTCAATTAACTCAATTTCCCACTCCTTGGGACCGCCAGCCTGTAAATGTTTCACATACAAGTCATAGCTTTGGACATCGCCAAACTTGCAACTCAGCTTCTCCAACTTGCTCAAACTCATTATTTCCTGAGCCTGTACTGTCAAGCTGTCGCACATACCATTAAGATTTAGGGTTTGCATGTTAGAGAGCTTGGGCAGAATTCCAGGAGGCAATTTCTTTAGTCTTGACTCATCAAAATCCAGGCATCTTAAATTCACCAATTCGTGCAGCCCTTCAGGGACTTCTTCAATTCCACTGCCAAAGAAATCCAACGTTCTTAATGCCCTCATATTTGCTAATGAAGGCACGCACCGTAAGCATCCGCAATGACGCAGTAACAAATGCGTGAGGTTCACCAGGTTAGAGATTGATCTGGGCAACATCTCAATCTCCGTCATGGACAGGTCCAGAACTTGAACAGCGGGCATGCAATCAAAGAATGAACCATCTATCCTTGTCAAGATATTATCACTCATATAAAGTTCCAAAAGTCGAGGCAGAGCCCAGCTTTGCTGTCTCACTGCTGGTATTTCTTCTATTGAATTTCCAATCAAGGATACTTTCTCCAAGTCCTTGGCCCATTCTTCCTGCGCTGGAATTGTGCACAAACCTA